ACAGAAGCAAACAAAGTGAACACTGCAAAACTAAAAGACTGGTTGTATATGTTGAAGGCAACTGGCAGGCCAAGAAGATTGAAGATATTTGGCTAGCAATAGATCACTAGAAACCTTGCTGAGAGCAATTTCAGTGGTCAGCATGGGGACAGTCAAATTAGTGGGATGTAATATAGAAGGGAAATAGAGGAAACAGGAGCTCCTGCTAATGGCACACTTCAGGTGCATAAAAAAAAAGGGAAAGGGATGTACAGGTTAGGAATATATTTTTTTTTTTTCAGTATAAGAGAAGCTAAATTACTTTTGTGGGTGAAAAGAGCTACAAGCAGATAGTGGGCTGCAAACTTTGGGAAAACTAATTAGAGAGGTGAAGATAGAGTGAAAAGGTTCACATGATAGTCAAGAAGAAACTCAGCAGTGATTAAGTAGAGGGGTGCAACAATGTAGGGCTAAATGCATCTATTTGCTGCCTGAAAGTGTAAACTCCACTGTCCAGTTAGAAGCAGGAAAATTTATTCCACCTAAGGATTCAGCCTTCCCATGGTTCGTATCAGAGTCAAACTTACTACTGAATCTCAGTCTCTTCCCAAATTGAGGAAAATTCAGTAGCCTTTAATGCTGAGATGTACTATTGAGATGCCACACTGGAACATAATCCTAGTGGATTTTCTTCACTAATTTCTTTGGCTGACAAAAAAAAAAAAAAAACCAAAACCAAAAACCAGATAGGATCTGTCATTGCTTACAATAGCCCTCATACTGTTAAGCTGGCAGGTCAGATTTGCTTTAGAATAACTTGATCCCTTTTTCTGAAAACTTCTTTACTTGACTCTATACATTTCTGAGTTTAAAATAGACATTTTTTCTAGGCTAACAACATAAACTCGTTGGGATTTTCTGCAAATAGCAAATCAGCTCTTTCCTGGGACCACTTTAATCATAACTATAATTTTCCTTCAAGACTGTGAGAAGCATGGTTTAAATCCAAAAGAATCCTGATCATTTTTTGCTTGTCGCTGTATGAGGTACTCCACAAGCTTTCTGCATGCTAGGAGTAAGTGAAAAACAATTACTATGACAGGTTCATCTGAACTAGACTGTTCTTGGAAAACAGAAGCATGACTGCTGTCAGATGGCTATAATAAGGTAGTTTACTATCGAGACCAAAACTGTGATATGCAGAGTCCCAAAGGGCATCATGGTAATTAAGCTACCACGGTACGTGAAAGCAGGAGAGACCCTGTACCAAGCGTATAAGAAAAATATGTAATCTTGTGATTATAGGGGATGTACTTAAATAGACCAGAAGCAGGTCAAAAAGTTGCTGAAACTCTCCATCCACTAACATTTAAAAATACATGTTTTTTAAAATCAACAACCTTATGGTTTATTAGAAAAAAGATGATTACACTTCTATATAAAATATACCATCCACCCTACTTCAATTCTCTTGATAATGTTCTGCATTTTTCCTTATTTTATGCACTTCTCTGTAAAGAGAATTGATCTATTCAGCATCCTCAAGTAAATAAAAAATTTTAATCCCCTGCTAGTTTAAATTCATAACTAATCCTGTTATGATTCAGTAAACATTTCATTTTACACTTACCAGTGAATTTGAGAGGCAAATTTTGTCACTCTTTACTAGGGACTCCTTTTCTGAGTGTCCCAGTACATCCTCTGCACTTTCCCCATACGGTCTAAGAAGTTCTGCCACACGCACCTCCTTTGATTCGAGTCTGCGATAACAACAGCACTTTATAGCACTTCCACTGCTAAGAGCAAGGCAAAAATGCTAATTAAATCCATCTTCTTCACTCAACTGCATAAAGAAAAATTTAAATGACAGGTTTCTCAGTAGCCCCCAGCAAATTTCCCTTGGATTTAACTGCCATTTAGGCATCGATGCTCCTACGCACTGCTTGGTGCATTTCAATTTTATATTCTCCTGTGATTCCATTTGCTGAATGTATTAAGATTTTGAAAAACAGTTACATCTCTCATTCTTAGTGATCTCAGTATTTTAGTATCAACCCCAGATAACAACTTGGAAAACATCACAGCTTTAGTCAAGTCATGAGTGTGTCAGTGTGCATGAGGAGAGGGAGGGAAGGTGCAGAGGCCCTGAGGTCGCAGTTGCTTATCCTTGCTGCTGACCATTAAACTGCTGACTCTGCTTTGCTTAAAACACATCACACTTACGTGCTGTCACCTCACACGCAGGGCTCAGACCTTTTCTGGGGGAGTGACGTGCTTTCCCAAGCCCAGCTGTATAAAGAAGATATTAAACCTGATGTGCTGCCTTCTCATTAGTAGATAAAGATGATGTTAGAACAATTTTTTAGTTCCCAAGGACAATAACTGCAACAAGAGCTTCAAAGATCAAAACCAACATTGCTCTTCCATGGTGGATGGAATTCACAAGCAAATTTGGGGTAAATTTGACTAAGTATCTGGTTTTACTGAAGCAACCTCTTCATTAATATCTAACTACTCCTTAATCTTGCAACTTTGTTCAATGTTCGGAAAATATATCCACTATTTACAGTCTGTTGTTAGGAGCTCTGGGCACTGGTAAGCCCACATACTCTGTTTAAGGGAATGCCTGAGATAATTAAATGGCTCCATATTTTTCTTAAGGGTTACAACTCGTTAATGCTTTTCCAAAAAAAGACAGAAACAACATGTGCTGCTGTAGCAGTACTTTAGAAAGCTATTCTTTTACACTTGAAGGCTGAAATTCTTACCCCTGCTTTAGATTTCTGTGCTTAAGGAATAGGGAAAAGGAGAATAAACCGGTTCTAGAAAGCCCTATTACAGAGAGGGTAGAATTTTGCTACACGCAGCAGCATATATAATAGCTATCAGGTATTGTTCTCAGTTTCTGGTTGGATTGTGTACATGAAATACCAGGGTGACAGGCAGAAAAGATAAAATTCAGATGGGGCAGGAGTGTCCTGATTTTCAACAGCCACAGGAAACTACTTCAGATGGGAAGGACAGGGCAGGGAGAGAAGCCTTTTAATGTCCCATCTACCCAATCTCTGGATAAATTCATCTTGGCAGGAGATTGCAGAACCCTTTGCAATAACAAGAAAATATCTTGGCCCCGTTAGTGAATTTAAAATGAAAGACTCTTTTCCCTTGCTTTTAGAAACAACCTAATTAATGGTTTCCTAGAGCAGCAGCTTTGCAACCACAGAAATCTCTACCGGGCAGCACCTCCCTGGCTTCTGGCAAAATGCACAAGTCCAGCTCAGTCACATAAATGCCATTACACACGTAGGCATCTATAAGTTTGCAGGCAGAACGTACATGTCTGTGTACACACAGGATTAGTTTTAAGAACAATTAGATAAAAGTAGGTGGTGGTGTCATTTCAGAGATGACGACTGAAGGCAAGTAAACTATCACTATCAGCTTTATTACCCGAGGCAAATGCTCACTAAGATGCTGAGAGATCACACGACCTTGCCTAAGCTAGCCCAGTTAGGCTTGGCAGAAGCTTTAGATGCACTTTTGTAACAAAACATATGAATTGCAAATAGGTTTGTTCAAATGTTTGTCAAATTCAGACATACTGCATCAAGCTAAGATGAATGCATTTAATCTGGATGGAAATCAAAGGAAGTTAGCCGAGTTTTATAAGTAGTATGTATGAATTTATGTATATATAAATGTTATATAAATTTATATATATAAATTTATGTATATATAAATGTGTATAAATTTATAAGTAATATGTAGAAATATTTGAATAGATGAATAATATGAGGAATAATCTTTAGCAAGGGGAGAAAAAAAATCAACATAGCTACAACTACTATTGCTGGGGCTCACCTATATAGTAAATATGCCAGCATTTTTGGCATACAATGCGTCCATTAATGATAAATCATTGTATCAATAAAACCATGATGAGCAGCATAAATAAGGTATGATCTTCGTAGGTACGTTGGTATCGGTCCTCGGTTGTGTTGGTGCACACGAGAAGCCTGTGTTAGTACTCTGCATCCATATGTCCTTAGTCAAAGCTGCAAAACTGTTATCCGAGTAAAACAGTTATGACAACACAATTATATTTTTATAGAAGCTGCTGCTAAAATACGGTCCAACCGTAACTGTTAAACAGGCACCCACATAGTGCAACCTGTGGCACAGTTTAGCCACAGCACTAAGTGCTTCGCAGCGGAGCTCAGGGCAGCGAGATCTGTTCCCGCGCCTAAGCTTGCTCTGGCATCTCCGCAATAAACTGAAGGCTACAAAACAGTCAGTCTGTGACTCATGCAGTACACCATTTCTCATCTCTCTTACGTGCAGACACAGAATCAAACCAGCTTGTTTCCAGATCACTGGGTAACTTTGAAACCGGGGGGGGTCTCCAAGACTGCAGTGTTTTACCAACTGCAGGTAACCGCGTAGCCAGCTGACACCCCCGACTGCAGAGCCCTGTGGGAGAGAGAGTGTGAAATGAATAGTACTTGTTAATTAAAGGATTTTAATCAAGCTGTAACCCCTTACGTCAGGCACATTTCGTAACTTCTACATCTATGTTGATGTAAAAATTGACAGACAAACCCAGACTTGAAAGAAAAGATACATTTTTTAATGTTTATTTTTCCATGAAAAAGCTTTACAAGGAAAAAGAGGTCTCACAGGAGAAAGAGTACATTCTTTAATCACTGTTTATTTGTTGAATTGATTCTGAGGCTGACATTTCTAGTGTATTTATTTGTTCTCATAATATTACAGGACATTTACCTATTATTTAAAAAGGATCATCATCCATGAATACTGTTAAGAACATTATTAGGCAATGCTGTATGTGAAGAATTTACACAACCTACATCAGCTGTAGATTAAGTGCCTACAGTTTTAATTCTTCACATATTTTGTAGTAACAAGTATAAAATACATCTTTTAAATGTTAAGATATTTGAAAGGCTTTGCATCACATGTAATGGAAAAACAGAGGTTTAGTATCTCAAATAGCAGCCAAAAATATTCCAGTGTTCACAAAACAACACTGAAGTTCTCAAGGAAGAAAAAAGTCCCTGTCCTTACCCTTAAACCATAGGAGACATTTATTAAGGTGTTAAGTGCTCAAATGTGACTTTCTTCACTACCATTATACTGCTAGGATTTTTGACATCCCAACATCATAACCTAAATGAAGTTATGTGGTTCCACAGTGAGAGAACTTGACCCTTCCTAGCCACCTCTACTCACAACCTTCTGCCATTTAAAGAATCCTGGCTGATCTGAAGAACAGGAAAACAAAACAAAACAAAACACCGTAACAAAGACCAACTCTCCACCTCTCAAATACCAAGTAGCATCACCTTCTTCTTTTTAGATCAATGATAGTTTTGCCTTCCATCTCACTCATATCACAATTTCGTCACGCTGCCAAGATTGTTCTGAAGTATACAAAAGAGGTAACAACAGTTTCAGAAGTAAGTTCACAGGACTGAGAAAAAAAAGCACTTTAGAGTACTTCTTAAGAAGAATAGCTTGAACAAAAAGCACCTTAATTTTAACTTAATTAAAAAACATGAAAGAAAATGAAAACTCTTCAGTTTCAGAATTAGTAGATTTAGCAGAATTAAAAACCCCTGAAACTTACAAACCACGAAGCTCAAATACCTTATTTCAATCAGTACTCCAGCATTTCTGTAAAGAAACACTTTCAAGTATTGCTATGTAAGGCACTGATTTTTTCCTTCAGCCATCATGACGTAATGAAAATGCAGAATTTCTGTCACAATGGGCTGAACTACTGGCCCTAGAGATATTTGCCGCTAACCTTGGAGCACCTGGATTTCACCCAGTACCAGTTTTACATCTACCTTATTTTTATTTATTAATTTCTTTATAAAAGCACATAGATCCATCACAGGTTTTAATGATACAATGATTAATAGTAATGATTTACAGAAGAGAAAGTTTTAATTCCACTAATTCTCCTTTAAAAGTGAAAACGGACAGTTTTGAGGTTAAATATTCAAAATTTAAAACATTTAGCAATCTAGTTCCTTTACTACCAATTCTAAATTTTTAAAAACTGGAAGCCAGTTATCTGATATAGGCAACTCTCAGGACAGATTCCTTGACAGTATGGTTCAAAATCAAGTATTTAAGTTTAATGAAAAGTTTGAAAACCAAGTTCTTATTTTTAAAAAACATGAATGTAAAATCAAATTTGCAACTGTTATCTTGCTTTCTTTGAAGCCTGACAATGGACAGATGAGTTGGGTTTCTAAATACTCATTCAAAAGGGGAAAAACACAGTGTGGAGTATTGCTCTTCTGAGGCATGCTGAATACAGAGCATTACATGAAGGCAGACTCCTGAACAGTTTTTTACAAGTGGGATTTCCTTACCTCAAAATTGTTGATGTTTCAAAGCAACTAGGCAAGACTTGACAAATACTTGCAATTCTTTTGCTTAGCCCTAGGGCCTGCAATTGGACAAACAGTTCTCTGGTATGCTTGAAAGCAATGGACCAACAATGAGGTACACTAAGCAGTAAGGAATTATAGCTGCACAAACACTCCTCAACTTAAATCCAAGGTTTCTAGTTTTGCAGCTGTGACAAAAACGTGTTACCCTTTGAAAATAATTAAGCACAATCTGCAACAAGATAGCAAACCGGTGTATCTTTTAAATCACCTAATAGCTGAAGTATCTGATTTATTGTATCAAAGTTTCCTGAAACTAGGAGCCATCAAAATCCCTCCACAGGCTACTCAAGTTTTATGGGATGCTCTGGGAGATCTATAAACACCTTCAGGACCTCAATGAACAGGGCCAGAGGTAAAGGTAAAAATTTGATAATAGCTGCATCAGTGTAAAGCTTGAGGAAGTTGGCCTGAGGACATAATCTTATTCTAATGCTACCTAGAAGCATGGGGGAAGGTCCAGAGAAGTCCTAGATTCCAGTAATTATTACCAGGTTATCTGAAGATAAAGAGTACTAATGAATCAATTAACTGGAGATTTTTGCAGGAATAATAAGGCCAAAATTCTTGCCTTCTTTATAGAGCATAATTTTGTAGGCTGTAAAGAGAAGCAGACCGAGGAAGCAGTGTCATGGTATATAACTCATCCTGAAACCTTCACCTCATTTCCACCCTTTCAGAGTGAGCTGACGGGTATGGTATCTGTATATGGGACACCCCTATTGCACTTGCTGTTTACTTCCCTGTCCCCAGAGCAGGACAGGGGCAAGGAGCTGGTGGAGGGAATTATCCTACTTGTATCCCCCCATGGTAACAAGAAACTGGCTGCATTTCCTTCTTGGGGAAACTACAGGAGGAAAAGATAGATCCAAAAACCTAACCAAAATCCTCCATAATATTATGACAAAGAAACTAAGATAAACTCAGAAGCTCAATCATAGATGTGGTGAATCCTTAACAAGAATGAATCCTAATCCTTAATGAGAGTATGTGATTTTACACGATAGTACAAAAACTGTAAAAATGCAAGAACAGCTGCTTCTGAGGGAAGACAGTAGTCAAATTTGGTTATATGAACATAATGGAATGTCGTATATTTGAAATACGATTTCTAAATTCATGATCTGTTGTAGAATACTAAGACAGATGTGGTGGTTTAATTAAAAAATAACTAGGTCTCACATTTTCAACAACTCCAACTAACTGTTACCATTTTTACACCTTCCCTGCTTGGGACAGAAAAGCTCCTCTAATCCCTGACATCTGATTTTGATTAAAATTATAATGATTAATTCTAAATACTAAATCTTTGCTAATGTGAATCAGTAATTTTAACTGATTATATGAACAACTGAGCTGACAGATTTGAGTGGAGAGTTACTGTGTGTGGTTGATAAGCTGCTGTGCATGGTAACTTCTCCTCAGGTAGCGCAACTGCAGCCTGGAAGACACATACACACAACATGCCACAGCATCTCTCACGTATTATACAAGCAAGAAAACTTACTTTTGAGCTGCAGTACAAAGTTTATGAACACACTTCTGTGGGAGTTTAGCTGCAATGTGTTTCTGAAGTCTTAATGAATAACAGTGATTTTTAAAAACTAAAGATCATAAGAATGTACATAAATCTCCACTACTGTCTCCTAAACCATAAGCCATTTTCAGCTAGATATATCTCTCATAACTCTACAAAGTCAGACATTTAAAGCTTCCATATACACAGAAAATCTTGTTAGGAATCAAAAATTCAAGAGAATCTGTGGTCAATAACACAACTCTGCTAAAATAAATAGTTAATAAGGAACAGAAGGACAAGCCCATGCACAAGAAGGAAAGTCCCTTCATTCTGATCATCCCCTCCTCTGAGCAACAGATAAGGAATATGTTTTTCTTGACATTCTCACAAAAAATAGTTTTACCTATGGTTTAAGCTACAAGATTTGTCCACTGGAATAAAAAAAGTGTATTAAGAATACATACAAAGTACTGGAAGCCATATGCAACTTTTCTAAGGCTAAGCAGATAAGGCATTTACATGATGCTATAAAACTACTTTCCCATATATTACCCATCTGGTCTGTACTTGCTTTGTATATCATGACATTACCACAGCATTGTACAAACATAATGCTCTACAAGTGGAAGACATGAGAGGCAAAACACGAACTATGAAGAAGTACGTCCAGCAGAAAAGCCCTAAATGACAGGTGAGAATCTAACACAAAAAGAGATCAACTAAAAATGTATGCATAAAAATATGTGCCCATCAACAGGTTTATACAGTCAGCATCCCTACTCTTCCTTCAACAGAAGGGCACAAACTACAGAAAGATACTACTGAATTCATAGAACATGAAAAAGCTGTCAAAATATATTACGCTCCCTCTTTGAAACCACATTATCTTTTTCCTAGTCTAATTAAATAAAATATCTAAAAACTCTCATGGAACTATTAATATATTTATTCAAAACCAAAAGCTGTTCCAGAAAAGCAAACACTACAACTAAAAACTGCAAATGCCACTGAACTTATTTCCATTATACAATAGAACCATGACCAATATTCTTTTGAGATTTGCTACAGTAACTTATTACTTTATTAAGGTCTGATGCAAAACTTATTAAAATCAGTAGAAAGACATGTTTTGAAAAGGCCTTGAATTACATACTTTTACAGTAAGATACAAAAAGCAGTCATCAATATATCTGATTTTTCAGTATTTAGCAGAGCAGTAACATTTTCTATTTTTCTGAATCGTATTTTGAAGATGCTTTCTGGTACTCAACTGAAATAAATTTCTGTAACTTGTACATGATATTCTGTTTGTCTGTCTTGGTACATTTATGGTACTTGTTGCTATACCGTAAAAGCATCTTGTAAACCCTGGAGGAAGCAAAGGAAATAGTACCCCTAAACATCATAAGCTTTTAAGAAACATTTTTTTCTAATTATAGAACATTCAAATGTCTGTATACCACAAGTGAAACAGGAGCGACCCTGGAAATGTGTATGCTATTCCTTGGACAAACAAGAGCTAGGTGTTTGGCTATATGACAAAAGGCCCATCACAGTGAAGACACAGACTGAGCGAGGAGCAGAACAACCCCAGTAACCTCATCAGCGAGAGCTGGGGCACAACTGGAATCAGCTGATAGATAGATAGAATAGAAGATGATGAAGGAGAACAATTAGAGCAGTGTCCCTGTGTGAAACCCACTAAGATGAGTCAGGAAAGGCAGCTCTTCACTGAAAACTAAAAGGGTTACTGACTAAAGGTTTGAGGACCTACCGGATGCAAGAGCAAAGCATTTTGAGATACACAGCTTTTCTTTGTGAATGGTGGGTTGTGTGTCTTTTTGAGGTGGTTTCACAAATTCTGTCTCTCCTTTGGCATAGAGCCATTACAATGCAGAAGCAAGGAATGCTCTGAGGCTTTGTAGAAAGAATAGTAGTAGCACAGATATAATATACTAACCCCCACTCCCCTAGTTTACATAAAATTCAGTCATCTGCTGCAAGACATGGGCTTAAAATAAAAGCTAAAGGAAAAACTGGTTCAAACAGATATATTCCTGCTCTCTCTTAGTAAGGCTGAAACTGGTTTCCTTGAAATACAATTCTTTAGCATTTGGCTACAAATAATTATTTAAAGGTCCTTTACAGTTTGATCCTGGACTTCAGCTTGATGCTTATGCAACACTTTTCCTACTACCTACTATCACCCTTTCCCAATAAGCTTATAGTTGTTCTGAGTGTGCCTAGATACAGTGACTAAAAGTCAAAACTAGAAAACAAAAAGGATATGACACTTTAACACACATTTATATATGTACATTTAGATAGAAAACACATCTACAATACTATATTTAAATATTACATACTCTTTCAATAAGAAAAAAGATTTGTTGACTTTTTTTTTTTCGAATACTAGAATACAGGCAGAATTTTATGATCACATCTGATTGAAATACACAAATATAGTGTCATTCTAGCTGAAAATGAGAGAAAAAAAATTCTATCTGCTGAATTATATGTTCAAGAAAACTGTAACAGTTTGTTTCATTATTCTGAACTTCTTAAACTAATGCTTGTTTTTTTGCAGTAAGCAACAGAAAATTTGTGAGCTTGCTGGAAGCTGATCTAAGGTTTCCTGGCTACTATCCAAAGCTAAAGAAACAAACAAAAAATTCTGAAAGACTGAGTTGCACTAAAGTGTAAAAAATGATAAATGCCCAAATCAGTTTCTTTACCTTCCAATAGCATTTGCAATCTGTGAACAAAGTAGCAAAGCTTTCTCCTACTTCAAAATGGCATGTGAGAATTGAAAGGCTTACCCAAAGGAGCTGAAGCACCGCGTTAGAAAAGTTCCTTAAAAAACAAACACAAGAAAAATAATAGCACAGCACTTGCCTTGCTGACAGGTGAGATAATAACCATTTCTGGTACTACAGAGAACTCGCACATAGACTGGCATTTCAATGGAAGGAAAAAACACACCAGTCCATATGGTTCTCTTGAAACAAAAGCCTCTAGGGTTCATGACCAACATTTCAGTGAGCCTTTAAGTAAGAAAGAACAAAACCAAATCATACTGGGGATTTACTGATAGGTGTCAGGAACAATGGTGATTGTTTTAGAAAAGATTACATAAAGATTATTTCACTACTGTACTTTATAATATATGTAAAAATACTAACTTCGAACTTAAAACAAAATCATCTTCTCAGAACTGATCCTCATAACCAGAGCATGAAGTCTAATCCAATTACCACTTAAGCACTGTGGAAACTCTTCCAGTTCAAGCAAAAACTTGAACCCCCTCCTGTATTCCTGCTACTTCCTATGACAAATTGAAGGAATTTTACTTGCAAAACACTTAAATACCTAGGGCAGAGTTTTGTAATACAGTTTTAAAGCACCTTACTCAAACATCGGGTTATCAGTTTTCTAGCAAAAGCTCAGAACCTCTAAATATGAATGTAAATTAATTATTATTAAATATACAGTTCTGGTTGAGTAGCCACTATTATAAATCAGGGGCTAACAGTGACTTCAAAAGACTCCAAATCAGACTTCAGGAGTATAATATTCTTCTTAATATTATGTGTTTGCAAGACAGAAGTCTTCAGACAAGTCTTTACAGAGAAATCATAGAAGCTGGAAAGTGATTCACTATGCTCAAAATGGCTGACATCTCATTTTTGCAGTTTAGATATTCAACCATTATCTACCACTTAATATAAAAACGTAAATTGGTATGCATCAGAAAAACTCCAGCATGGTTTTGTGGTTTTCTTTCTTCATATATATATATATATATATATAGACACACACACACAGAGGCACATTCTTTGTTAGAAATCAGCAATAAATTCTTCCAGAGGAACTTGAATGTTTCCTTTCACAGAAATTTTTTCATTAAATTATGCTTTTCATACAAGGCAGTCATATCTAGTTAAGCAAAACACTCAGTTTGTGTAAAATTAGAGCTACACCTAGTTTAAGATGTACTTTCAAAATACACGTGTCATAAATGCCATTACAGAAAATTAAGCAAGATACTTCTTTTACAGCCTGAAGAAACTATTTGTTTTGACATTCTAATAAAATTCAATAGGGGCACAAAAGGAATTTGTTAGTCCAAACTGATCCAGCTACTCTAACAGTATGTACAGTGCAAAAAACTTCTTACAGTAACATTACAAAGTAACACCAGCTCTTTCATAAGGACTCTAAAAATTGTTGCTCATTGCTTAGAATGGCATACATCCAATATATTCACAATTGGCAACAGAGTCTAGAGTATTACAGTATTATTGCTGTTACTGTAATGAAAAGAAATGAGGTTGTGATGATAAATTTTCATGTTAAGCTGTAGGGAACTCTACTTCATTTTACCAAGTATATTATTTCTTAGCTTTGTCATAAGCTCAAGGAAAATTAAAAACAGATAAAAGCCATCTATTAATATTTTCTTTTACAGAAATGGTGGATAGTAAAATAAAGTACGAAATTAGCTGGCTTTGGGTTAGCTCATTAAAACGTGTGTATCAGTTCAACTTGAGTCAAGTTGCCTTGGTCTGTAGTAGCCACCTGTAAAGGCTGACTGAATGAGATTCCTTTCATCATACAGGCACTGCTACCTTTGCTGCAATAGTAGAGGCACGCTTTGATAGCCAGAATAGCTTCAGCTGACAGACAGCTCCTGGGTAGCTGAAAGGGAATGATAGTTTGACAGGAAACATCTTTTATTTCTCCAGACACACACTGTCCTTGAAGCAACCATGTATTATCTGTAAAAGAAGAACAAGTTATACCATTAGCATATTTAACACCGTGTCTGAAGCCTACAGAAAACATTAATTCTACCTATAGGACAACATGGACTTTCCTTCCATATGCAACATTAGGGGAAATTTCCTTCCTGATTTTCCTTCCTCATTTTTGGCCAGCCAGTTGTGGACAAAAAAGAAGGAAAAGTAATTTACAAATGCATCATTAGCAGTCATTTAAAGATGGAGAGATCAATAGCTTTGATTCAGAACTATAGGCATATATATAGTACATCTTATTTAAATGCAATGGATCTGCAATTTGTCCTATACACTCTTAAGAGGATATTAAACTTTATTCTGAGATATGCAAGAAAACTCCTTAAATTATCAGGCTGATGTACATTTGTATCAGAGGTCTAATACTCCAGGTAAGTTACCTGCCATAAATGCATAGAACTGCAGATAAATTATGGCATTTCCAAACAGAAGTGTTGGCTATAAAAGTGGGTTGCTGCAATTTAGTAATGTTCAGGCTGACCGTTACAACAGAACTTGAGTTTCACATTTATTTAAATATTCAAGAGTATGTGAACTGAAAAATTAACTGCACAACAAATGTACCTAGCTCATTGCATTACACTCTGTATTTTACTGGAAGTGAGATGGATGAGGTGCTCTTTTTGGCATTTTTCAGAAAATACCTGAAAGTTGGATCTAGAATTATAAGCCTGAAACAACATGTTGAGTTAGTTTGCTTACATTCTCCAATTTTACTAACCCTTGGAGCTATCACATATATTTTTACTTCAACAATATTTGGAGATTCTGTAGGACAAAAAGTATTCCAGCTCTCCTGGAAACAGTTTATTTGTACTCCAAAAGCACAAACTGGGATGAGAAACTACTTTAAATCATGAGGCATATAAACAAATTGCAGTGCCTGTACAGTATTTGTTGATTGTTTTTAAAAGCAGAAATATGCAAATATGAATTATGACAAAGTAGGTTCAAAACAGTTAGGTATAAATGTACCTCAAGTACTTTTTGGAAGAGACAAGATCAAAAACCAGAATCTCTTTCAGGAATATGTTTCAGCTTCATGGCAAGCTTTCTCAGAGAAACAGAGGGTAGGGCTGTGGTAAGCTGTCCGTAGAGACAGAGTGGAAAGGGCAAGCATCTAAGGGGGATCAGTACCTTTGCAAGCCCTCACTGGCAGCTTGTTCCAAGAAAGTTTTTAAAAAAACACCAACAATAATGTTGCATTTATTAATTCAAACCAAAAGCAGCCTATCAGGTGTTTTTTTTTAAATTTCACACTCCAGCTATTAAATGTTATCAACTCTAAGTAACATGTATTGCATCACAAGGTCAAATGAGAACACAGGACTGGGCAGGACATTTTGATTCATCAGGCCAAGATCCCTTGTATGGCAGGCATGTCCTGACATAGCCCACTTTGTACCTTACCTACCCCTGTTCAACTGATAAAACAGCACAGGCACTTTACCTTCTGCTGTGATAAACCAGGAATTGGGTGCTTCTTCATTCAGTTTTGAATCTGGAGGGAGTGTCAACTTTAGCAAAAACTGAATTGTCTGGCCAGGAGCTACAGTTAATGAAGGAAGTTGAACATTTGGTGCAGATTTAGGTAGTTTTGGAAGGTTTTTTATCTTATCCTTTTGCTCAGGCAGGTTATCTGGAACATCGCATGCTTCTGGATTCAGGATAGGCAACTATTGATAGAAATAAAGCAAAATATTTATTTTTATTTGTACTGAATGCAAATAGGCTTTCACAATACAATCACAGTTTCAAAGCTGAAATGGACTAGGAAAACTAACACGTGATAATATGACTATTGGACTAACACTTTCTGACAGAGTGCAACAACATTAAAACAGCAAAGAAAAAGGGAAGGACAACATGATTTTTTAAAATGAAAAAGATAAAACTGATTAATCCCAATAAAAATAATGTTTACTGTTACAACCATAAAATTCACAACTACTCTAGAGTATCCTTTAATTGAAAATTTTAACAGTTGCATTATATTTTTACTTTAAATAAAATTTAAAGGTATTTTATTCTAATCTGATGGTAAACTGCATGCCTCAGTAATGAAATCCAAGATTTTAACCATGCAGATTGCACAGTAAATGATAATTTCCCAGAAAAGTCACAAACATGTTATATGATCATGAAAATTTAAACACACATTAAAATCATGTACTATTAAATGCAAGAAACATACAAGATGGACAGTTGGACCATTATGTCATATACATACATATATATATATATACACATATATATATATATATATATGAAAATGTTAAGACATAGTGCCCCTGTAAGATGGACAGGAGCATGAATATGTTTTGCCTTCATGTTTATAAGCAAATACAGCAGTGCTCAATTATGACAGTGGTTTTGATTTGACAGCTTGGAAGCCCCCTATGTATGACCTCCCAAAGTCATCTCTTACCGCTTACTTATAGGACTTGGTAATCAATTATAACTTCCACTTGTTACAAGGTGCTCATGAAATGCTTTTCACACAGAAAAACCGGGCTGTAGTTTTTAAGAAATCATGTTTCTGTATTATTCTTTTCTACAAGATCATCACTTTCTGTTTTCATGCAAAAGTTGCCTTTCCAAAGACTAAGGCTTTCAACAACTGTGCTAGCAGGCAATGTTTATTTGCCAGATCACCACAAAACGTTCTGTGAATATAGCTACGGTACCCCAAAAATTTATTACCTATATGATTTTTATACCGCTTGCTGTCTGTAATAGTAATTTATATCAAGAAACACCACTATCAGCCTGTTTAGTAAGTATTACTTGCCATGGAAAGAATTTTTGTTTCGAAATCCAGCACTTTAATCTGATGATTGTTTGTGTCTGCAACATACATCAAGCGGCCATTTTCTTCAACACACAAACCTCCCGGTTCATTAAAAGTTGACTGTGCAAAGCTGGAGCCAATAACATTGCTTGCTTCTCCTGTGCCTGCCAGGGTAGCACAGTTCTTCATCTTGGGATCTACAACTTTAATCTAAGATAAACAGACACAAAAAACTTCTCTGAAAAAAAACCACCAGGATTTAGAAGTTCTGCATTATCTTATGCCCCACACTTTCAGAAGCCAGCAGTATCTTTGAGTACCTTAGCTTCCAAGTGTGTATCCTAGAAGCTAAGTTATCATACTTTACCAAATTACATGTCCCATCTGAGTACTGTGCTCAGTTCTGGGGCCCCCAACATAAGGAGGACATGGACCTATTGGAGCAAGTCCAGAGGAGACCACAAAGATGATCAGTGGGTTGGAACACCTCTCCTATGAGGACAGGCAGAGAGAGTTGAGGTTGTTCAGCCTGGAGAAGAGAAGGCTCTGGGGATACCTTATACCTTCCAATACTTAGAGAAGGCTACAGGAAAGCTGGAGATGGACCAAACCAAACACAACCTTTGTATGTTCCTAAAATAGTCCTTCGTAGTAGTAAAAATTGCAAAGTCTGTATATAACAAGCTACTATATGCTTACCTTATGATTATAGGAATCTGCCACATAGAGCAGTTTTCTCTTCTTGTCCCATGCTACTCCTAAGGGATGCTGCAGCTTTGCATTGATGCCTGCTCCATCCACATCACCAAAGGCAAACAAATTCTGAAAGAGTATTTTATTAAATTAATACATTTGATTATTCAATGTTGACATGAATTTAAATGACTGTAATCAAATGGAAATTCACTGACTTAAAAAAAAAAAAAAAATCAAGACAACTTCAAAACAAGGATACTGAAAACTTGGAAGTGTGGATGCTAACCATGGAAATGGAAACTCTCACATTTATCAATATGAATCCAGCTGGCTTTAATGACCAAACAATGCTGAATCAAGTTGGCTATTTTAAAAATAAGTAGTTTGCTATCTGAGGAGCAAGAATCTGCATTACAACCTGAGCATCACAACTGGCACACATTTGCATTCCAAGCAGTGAAGTTAAGAAATTGATGGCCACGGAAACTGATTTGCCCTCTCACCCCAAAAGTGGTTCCTCCAGGTCAGGCTTGAGGAATATTAGTAGGGCAGTGTGGGGGAGTTTGAAGTGATTACCAATGGATCTCTCTCTCCTCCTACAAGGTGCTTCACTGCTCCGTCTTTCAGAGAGATGGTTCGCACAGTGCTGCTCTCGCTATCTGCTACGAAAAGGCAATTCCATGGTTCCTCAGAAGCCAGAGAGAGACCTGAAGGCTGTGCAAAGCCTGCCTTATGTGGGTATGCATTGTTTCTGTTCTCTTCATTTCCACTCCCAGCGAATCGAAGGCAGACTCCTTTCTTTAAATCACTAAAGGAAAAATGTACAAAAAGAAGAAAAGTTCAAGAATGAGTTTGAAATACTTCAGACATTACACATAAACTGAAGCTACAGGACAAGCACTTGTGAGTTATAAAACCAACTGTACTGCAGCACAAGGAATTATTCAGTCCCTTTCTGCTAAATTTTATTTCACCTTAGTATATCATTCATTACTAGATAATTCAGCAAATGCAATGAAAAGTAACATTCAATTATACGAATGTACCTTACCAAGTCATAGTTTTATAGCAAAAGTAGTATCTTTCATTTCACCTAACAGATGTGGGAAAAAGCAGGCAGACTTTAAAGGTCACACGCCTTTTAAGTCTGAACAGAAGCAGCAAGCTTCAAGCTAAGTACAGTTGAGAAAAATTATTTTCAGTTTAATTTGATTATCTCTCTCTTTGGGGTTTGAAAGCTGTTTAGCAAGACAAACAGCAATTTCACATGTCTCTTATTACAGCTGCTTACCTTCCCTTTGGTAGTTTTCCACCTTCCAACATGAGTGCCCATACCTGATGAGTGCCTGCCATTGCTATCCATAAAACATCATCTTCCTGGGGCCCTGAAACTTTTAAAAATGGACGTATAAAAACAGATGAAAAACCAAACTTTTTTGAATGTTTTATAAAACAAAGAAATCAACAAACCAACCCTGCTGTCCCTCCTACTGCAGCTCACCTTTTGCCATGGGGAAGAAAAAAAAATCCAATCAAAGAACAGAGTAAGAGAAGAAGAGAGAGAAAATGTCTTTCATCTACCAAAAACTCTGCTATTTTTCTTCTGTTCTCTTCCCAAGGATATAAAAATTGTGGTTTTAATACACTACTGGCAGTTGTTTACAGGTTTTGAGGGAAATAACCACTGCAGTACCACTGTACATTATATAGAGTACATAATGTTTTTAAGATAACGGTAACTGATGCTTGCCTGTTATGCAGATTTACACTATGGAGAACAAAACCTGCTGTTTATTTAATCATTAGATGTGATGTGGGCAATTACTAATTTTCCCCTGCACTAACTATCCAGTTTCCAAGTTGTTTTCCCTATGCACATCCAGTATCACAAATGCAAGATGCAGATCTGCAGAACAGTGACCTGATCAAGAAGTGTTCAAGTTCGTGTCAAACATCTAGTTTTTTCAACTCAAAGTATATATGCACCAACACAAATCTCTAAATTACACAAAGTTTGCCCAGATAACACTTCACAAATAAAATGATACAAATGGAAAGCAAAGAACATATAAATGCTCTATAGCTTTAAACATATCAGATTACAGCATAAAAACAGCATAGAGACAAATTGTGAAAGACCATTTACAAAAACCCCAAACCAAAAGAAATTTACTTATTTTAGCCTTTTCTGAAAATCTTAAAGAGCAGAAAGTTGACATTTTTAAACTGCATTAAAATGGGGACACTGTTATCTAACATTTTACTAGTTTATGGACACTTTATACAACTGTCCCACCTAGTCAGAGACAACATCAAAATGTTTCTCTAAATGAGGGTATCAGGTATTAGAATAACTACTAGCCACTCAACAGAAAAATATCTTAAAATTGCTTACAGAAACGTTTTATTCACATGAACTTATAAAACATTATGCATCTCATAGCTATTCCTGCAAACAATCTAATGGATACTCCTTCTCCCCTCCCCCCCCCCATATTTTGGAGTTTCAAAATAGAAGCAATTATATGTAAAATTCTTGCAAGCATTTTATACCTGAGAAGTTAGTCCAAATCAATCTTCCTAAAATGAAATTACCGTCATTCCCCCAACTGAGTCCTGCTGTTTTTCTTCTAATCCAAAACTTTTCCTACATTACACACTGCAAGAGGGGAAAAAAAAGCATCCTTCTGTCTCCAGAATCAATTTCCTCATACTGTGAGCCCTCTTCAGCATAGTACTGGTATGATTTTAACAAGTTTATCTTCAACCTTTTCTGTTTCTTGAATCAAGTTTGGAAGACTTTGATCATAGGAATTCTGCTGGCTCTTTCCTGCACCTCCACATGGCTCCATGTTTTTACGCAAATTAGAGCTCTAAGAATGAAAGTCAAACTTTCAAAGCACCTCAGAATTTTTTGTTGAGAGAAAGGTTTGCAAAATGAGTTGGAAAACACACATTTTATGAGTCACAAGAATGTCCAAACCACCATTAAAAAAAAACCCAACCAAACAAACACAAAAACAAAAAAACACCAAACAGAATCACCCCTACAGAATCACCTTTGATTAAAGCTTGTTTCTAAGAGATTTAAATCGAAAAAATGGCCTACAAAATAATTTCACTACTTCCTATATAGTACATGTTCAACTTCAGGATCTTATGTTTCCAGGATTCATACCTTGTACTTTTCAGAGGCTACTATTCCGAGTACCCCAGAATGAATAATGCTAAAATCACTGGTCAATTCAGAAAGTGAACTTTTATCTTGCTATGCTGTGCAATTCATTCTGAGGGATCTTACAAAGTGCTTTGTTAATTATTTAATATTCACTTCATCTCCCAATGAAATGAAGGAGTAAGACTTGAACTGAGCACTTTAAAAAAATCTGTTCCATTCATCTATCCAATTCTCTAATCCCACCCACTGAAGACTTCCTTGTGGCAGCTATACGTTGAAAAATTGAAAAGGTTTCTTACTGTAATTCTGCACACTGAAAGGCTTATCAAATATGAGACACAGAAAAAAAGTATCAATATTAATTTCAAATTTTACTGAAAACGTAAGATCAATAGAGAGGAAATCCTTTTTTTAACTAGAGGAACAAGACAGAAAAAATAAGTAAGAACTCCATAACCATCATAAATTTTATATGCAATTTAAATAGTTTCTACTGGATGACACTTAGAACAAAGAGAATGGATGCAAGCATGGAAACAGCACAAGCATACTGAATTGTGGAAAATATGTCAGAACTTTAACAAAAAAATTTATACAAAACCAGAAAAATAAAAACAATGCATGTAGTTGCACAGCTAAGTTATTTTATCACACAGTGGTTCTGACACTACAGAGTTTAATGCTTTATGTTCTGAAACAAAAGACAGAAAAACCTCTTCTTTCAGGATAAAACAGTCTGAGGATAAGTCACCATTGTCATCCTTGTACTGTTTTAGCAGGAGAAGGGGGCCAGGGAGAACCAGCATGCTAAAATTATCATAATGCCATCATTATCATAACTTCTTATCATTCTTGAATGGAAAGAATTTATTTTTAAGGAATTTATTATAAAACAACATAAAAGAACAAAGCAATTCTTTTACATGTATTCAATTAAGAATCACATTCCAACCTATCTTGAGCTGTTTTAAAAATCCAGTGTAGTTTCTCCTTATTAGGATATGTGCTTTCTTATCTTTAGTGCTGCCTGTATCAAAGCAAAGTATGGCTTGCAAATGTGATATACTTATGTTATAAAGATTCACTAATAATGAACTAGAGCTCTGAATGCACTGCTGTTCCATATTATATGATGTTTTAGTTATTATGCGATGATTCAGTTTCTGAATCTGTCTCTGCTATATATCTGTGTTTTAAGAATTCACAGTCCTGTTCGCACACATACACAACTTCAAACAGTTGAGCAATACTGCTGACCATTAACAGTAAGTCGATCTGAATGCACAGAAAAGACTATTTTGTACCAGTCAACAACAAAGTTTGAAGAGATTCCACTCCCGGGACTACACACAATTCCAACTCCCCTGACTGGGGACTGCATACTTATTTCTAGTCTGGGAATTAAAAGCCTGGGAATCAGTTACATTTCGTGGCTGGCACCACTGACATTTTCTAAATAGACTTTGTTTGAAAATATTATTCATGTCTACTAATTTTATCTTAAAAAAAAAAAAAAAAAACCAAAACCAAGGAAGAAGTATGTTGGTACACTCATCCTCTGCAAAAACACAAGGCAAAAAGGGCTGTACAACATGCCCTCCAGTTTGTAGATAGGCACACCGCCTATGTGCACATGTGAATGCAAGTCTTGCCTTCACTTAAATAAGTAGAAGTTTAGCAAATTAAATCCAAATCCGACTGACAGAACAACTAGAGAATCATTCTTCTTCAGTGAGACAGATAGCAAAGCCCTGAATGACCTTTTTGGGAAGAGTGAAAATTATTTTTCTTCTCTATTTCCTATACTATCTGACACTCTTCACATAGTGTTACATCATGCAAAGAGCATAACCCTTTATTAAACAAAATACCTCTCTAATTTTCCTCTTTAGTTAACTTACCTGCCCCCTCAACAAGAGAAATCCTTGCACTGAGATAGCAAGAGGATGTCCATACACTGGGAGGTAGTAGGAAGCTTAAAAATTATTACTATAATTAAATATTTTCTCTTTCTTTCCCAAGTTTTCTAACTCAGGCCTTCTGACTGTAATGGCAGTAGATACTTAAAAATACAAAGTAGAAGCGATAGCATTTGTTAACATAAAAGAACTAACCTAGATTATTTAGTGTTGGGATACATCACTACAACTACAGAAAAAGCTAACTGGTCATGTGTTTTATTCATTCCTATATAAGCACAGCAAACACATACACTTGAGGGTAATTCAACACTGCAGCCCCTTCTGACTCCCAACACCCAAATTCCATATTCTAAAGCACTTTTAGCATCATCTGAGAACAGTTAAAAACAGTGTCTCATTCTGACCCTGGCATGTCTGACAAAGTCTCTGTAAGACTTGTTAAAGATGTTTATTTGCAGCAGCTCTGCATCTGGAATTTTGCATTAAAACCAGTATCTGAACTAGTGTTTAGCAATCTGATTTGTAGTTTTAACTTCTTTATCATATGCATACATTTAATCCACAGAACAAGACTACAGACTGTGAAACAAAGAGAATAAGAAGTCATCATTACAGGTACAAATACCATATTTTTTCATAGAAGGCAGCTTCAAATCATGGGTTTCAAACAGTTACTAAATTTGACATCTGTTAAAATGATAATTTTACTAATCCAAATGCTTCTTTTTACTGCAGAAAGTTACCATATCATCCATTTTGTCAAAACGTCAAGAAGTCCAACTTACTAGAAAAGCAGTCTGTCAGACTAAATTGTGTGGGATTACTATTGTATATTCAGTCACAGCTCACACTACATCCTTATGTTAAGACTTTAGTCTCTGCATGTTTCTGTCAAAGGCATGTTTATACTAAAATACTAACATAAATATCTAATATCTTGACTTGTTTCTATAGTGAACGTGTGAAATATTAATAACTTTTGTTGCTATTACTATTAAGCAATACCATAAACTCCTTAGTTTTGGGTTGGAATACAGAATCAGAGCATTCAGTCAACAGTTTAACCAGGTTCCTGTAGAGATAAAGTCTGTTGGGTTCATCACACAAAAAGCTACTAGTTCTGAAAGCTTATCCTTCCTCAGTTTTCTCTCAAATGCTTACAGGAAAAAAAACAAATGTCAGTTTAAGAACAAGATTGGAAGTTGATTAGGGGTGACAGAAACCATACATAAATTATGTCAGGATATGTGAAAACTTCAGTTAAATCTATTTGTCCCTCTCTGTGATTTTGCCAACAGTATAAAGCTGGTTGACTCAATCAGAGAACATACAGAAGAAAATAATGCGTGTCAGAAGTCCTCCCAAAGCAAGACTGGATAACATCCTACTTCACTACAGTCCTTCACTGTATTTTCTTAATGTCATATTTCTCAAAAGACTTTTTCTCCTTAAACAGTTCTTACACAGAAATAAAACCCTGTAAGTCTTCCACTTTAGCCCTAACTTTAATGAAGAATTTACTTTTTCTTTGAAATTTAAAGTATTTAAAATAAAAAATAATTACCACTTACAACTAAATTTATGATCTAGATCAAGAAGAGAAAACAGACAATGCTGTTTCATTCCAATGATGACTCTAACATGATTTTTGGTGTAACTGAACTTGTATGAGGGCAGATGCAGCCCAAAGCTGAATGGTGTATCTTTGAGTTTGTACTTTGCATAGGAAACTGCTAAGGAGATGAGGTCATTTGCATTCCAAGTAAATCTACATTGCTACATCATGCAGTCATATTACATATGCAGTGTATGCTTAGAGTAATTAAAATTTTGAGTTGTCCAGAAAAACAGTTCCTAATTAATCCCTGATGATCATAAAAGCAGCTCTTTTATTTTCAGCTATTACCAAGGAAAATTCCTTTCACAGGATGGTGAAGGCTAGAGCTTCAATGACAGAATGAGACCAGACTAGAAGGAAAAAGACAAGTGACGTGAAAAAAGTGTACTTTCAAGACACAGACCGTTCAGACATAAACAGCTCATATATGGTCTGAGCTCACACAGGAAGTGCTAATTGCTTATTGCTGAAGTCATTATTGCTTTTTTTTTTTTTGTAAAATTAGGGAAGAATCTCCATGAGTAATTCAGAAAAAAAAAAAGTGTTTCCTCTGGAATGCAGTGGGACTAAATAACCCTCTAGCAGAAACACAGAGAGGAAAAAAAACTTACATATTTTTGCCTTTTAAGGGCTATAAAAATGGTACCAGTATGATAAGGTATTGTACATTCATTTAAATAATATCTATGTAAAATCTAAATTGACGTAAAAATTTCCAACTAGTTTACTGAAAGCATGGTCAATACTGTACTTGGGAGTTTCTATAAATAGATTACAATCATGCAATTTAAGATCAGATTTTGGAATGTGAAACACACAGTTATGTCACCAAGCACAGGTCATTGTCCTGTTCCTTCCAGCAAGAATGCAGCTATCAAGAACATTTCACGCTCAGATCAACTGTGCATTTAAGTATCACTTGCTTTCAACACCCACTGAATAAAAATAGAAGGGGACAACAGAGAAAGCTAAAAAAGCACCCAGTAATTCAGTAATGTATTTTAAAGCTGATGGCCCTCCCCCTGTATTTCCTGCACAATCTATGTCAATGCAAATTTCAGCACCAACTTCAATGAAGCCAGAATTTAAACCCTGGAGTTCATTCAAAAATTTTAATGGGGGAAGGTAAAACATGAGCTCAGTGGCCACAACTAAAGAAATAAAAAAGATGACAAGGAAGAATACTGTCTGCCTGAATTCTAGCATGTGTTCTGTCTCCATTAACTCCCCTACCTTAAGGAGAGACATTTGTGCCAACTTTCTTTTAAATGGTACTTCTCAGTCACTTAAACTCTTTGCCTAAGACTTCAGCATCTGTATAAAATGGGGAAACAAAAATCTATTATCCATGAAAGTACTATGAGGATGCTTAAAAGCATGCTACTTAATAGTATCTGTTCTGAATATTAACTTCTGTATGCCCTCATAAGCTTTTTTCCTCAATATTTTTAATTTCACAGCAAACTATACATTAAAATTTTAAAACGTAAACAATGAAGTCTTTTAATTGATCAATACATACTCAAAGCTGGATGTAGAAGTAATCTCTTAAGAGGTAACCTTTCCCTTTGAGACTTTGAGAAAGGTCAGCATAAGCTGTTCAGTACTATCTAGTGTAATATATAAAACTTCTTTTTTTTTCTCCCTTTTGTGTTCTGGATAGCATGGCTTTGGACAGTGAAAGGAAACTCACAGAAGCATCACTTGTTTAAAAACTATAAAATCAATAAATTTAACTTCTGAAAAGAAAAAATGCATCTTGTATACAATTTAAGCTACACAGATCTAAGGGAAATGGGAAAGTTGATGTTACTTCCCATATGCCATGCCAGTTAAAACAAAAGTCAAACTTAGGAATTTTGTAATAACAAACCTAAGCTTTGAAGTGTACATTTACCTCCTGCAACTTACACAGACACATATATGTAAAAACCGGACACTGCTGTGTAGATGGGAACAAAAGTAATTTTTGAAACTCTCATCCACTACTGCATCCATCCAGATGCAGAAATAGGTGTTGGCATACCAGTTTTAATATAGTGCTAACAAGGTATCTACTTGCTGGACAGCACACTGAGAATCACCAGCAGAAGGCTGGGTACCTGCCCAGGACAGTGAAGATTTCCAACAAAAATGTGCTTTGCATGTATTTACTGAGTAAAAAATGCATTCTAAGATACTGGACAGTAACAAAATATCCTACTAGGCTCAAGGAATGTGCAGCAACAAAAGAACTTTGACAAACTCTGCTGCAGTGTTGACAAATTATTCTGATGTCTGGTAATAAGCTTAAAGAAGTCACTGCAGCCCATGACAGTATCTATGCTGTAAGACAAATGCACTGTAGATTACAAGACACAGTCCTGGCTCCTCATGCTCTGGGACAGACTCCTGTTGACATTCTACTCAGTATAGCCCTCCATTTTGACAACTCTCTCTGGTTATAGTTTTCTAAAGAGTTTTATATAGCTATTATGGTAATTTATATTTTTCCTAGCTTACTTTACTAACACAAAACCATATAAAAAAAAAAATCTTAAAAAGAAACTGAAAGCACACACATACCCCCCACCCCCCACCCCCTTTTTATCTATTTGGTCTACTACCCTCTCAAAGAAGGAATTTATATTGATCTAATCTCTTCTTAACTGACAGGTTATATTATATTTTGTAGAGATCTAAATAGACGCTGACTGGTAGATTCTAATTGAATATGAAAAAAATCTATACTGGTCTGAAGAGACTGCATTCAGAAGATCTGATTTTTATGTAAATGCTTACAAAAATTCAGCAGTCAGTGTTGAGCAGTGGAGATGACTAATCCTCTACAGGTGACTAATTCAGTAATTATTATGTTCATGTTGATAACAATCATATCAATTAACATTTAACAAGCAGAGCTCTCAAAAAAAAAGTATCAACAGATATTCAACTACTGGCAGAAGCAGAAGAAAGCATCATGAAAAATGAAAAATTATAGGATATTTTTAATAGTTCTGTTAACCAGCTTAAGCTTCTGAAGCACTGATGAGTTGCTAGTTTCCTCCTTTGCTGATCTGAGAAACAACTCTGACATAACATCCCATGGATATCAGCCTGCTAGTTCAAGATACCTTGAAAAGTATACCATCTAGTCACACATCTGTCTACTGGTTCATAAAAGGAAAATCAAATTGGATAAAAGTCAGCAAAACTCATTCAGCAAAACTCATGACTTTGTTAACAGCAACCCACATCTGATGAGATTCTCTTTCAGGTACTACTTTCTCTTGCAAGTAGGATTCCATACGCTTAACACAGACTGTAAAGGTCATTGACAAAGGCTTTGGGAAAAGTGCGTGTGCGTGTGTAGAAGACATGCTATTTAAAGTGTTAAATCTAAAAATTTATGTCAGTTGCATATTTAAGTAGTCAAGGCTGCTGGTGGTACACTGTCTATATTGACAATGTATTTGTACCAGAAGACTTCTATACAATCAGCATTTATGAACCAGCCTCATGTTCCCTTATACTTGAGTGTGTTTTCCTCCCTCATAACTGAACCAAGATTATAACAAATGCTTCCAGGACAGTAAAATGTTCTAATCTACTAATCTTACAAAGCACCTCTAATATAAAAAAATTACACTTAAATAATGCTACTTCCCCATCCCATTCAACTGCAGATTCAAGAAATCCTAATATTGGAAGTCAATTTTTATGCCTGAAATACTAACCTAATCATTTTACACCACACTAAAGCATTGTTCTGTCACTGTTAAGAAACTGGCATCTGCAACTTCTAAATTATGTTGAAATGAAAACATAAGAAAATAGCACATGAACTCACAGTTAATAACAGTTGAAAACATGGCAGTTATGTGATGTCAAGCTCAGGTGTGTTTTAAGTGAATCAGGAAAGCAAGCTACTTAAATCCTCAGAAGCTGATGCAAAGATTTCATTTTTACTCCCTGATGCTTGCAAGGTTTTTTCTGAGGTACTCCTCTCCTATCTGATTGACTCTATCGTGATCTTGAGTCTAATGATTTTATGTTACCTAAACAGGAATAAACAGATGTCCCCAACTAAAATTATTTTATTTCCTAAACTCAAATATTTACAAGTGGTCAAGGAAAGGAACTTCTAGACAATGAGCACTTCCTGTAAAATGTAGCTGCTTCTTAAGTGATCCTGGCATAAAGCACTGGCCTAACGAAAGCAATCACAATTTCCTTCTGTATTTGAATCCAGTAACCATATAACTCACTACAAAAGAATTTTTCTTCCATCAAGGAACAGTTCACATTTTTTCAAGATCCAAGGCAGAACTGTAGATATCACTTGCAAATGAAACCACTGGTTTTTAGACTCAGTTGTAAAGTAAATCTTTCCATCTCAGATTATTACCAAACCAGGAAAACATTTAGCAAACAGTCATGTATGTGTAAATTTGAGATATTAGAAGCTCAACTGATACAATACTTGAATTTCCGAAGACCACATCCCACGGAGAGCTAATAGGCTGTTCTTCTCCTTTTGCTCCACCTTCCTTATCAACACCTTGTACCCCGACACCTGCTACAGTGGTCACCACCTCTAATTCCAGATCAATCTGCAAGAAGCAAAATTATACACACTGAATGTACAAAATTAACTTGACTGAAGTTACAGATAATTTGAGCCAGATGTCAAAACCAACAAGTTTTTGCTGACAAATAAAACCCAAATCCTAACAAATTTCAGGTATTTGTTTATGTAGGAGAATAATTTTACCACAATGTTTGCTGATGTGGGCAGTAAGGGAAGTGGAAAAATCACGTGCCTGACATTCTCTTTCACACACAAGAAAAATTAACACTGCTCTGGCAAAGTTTGCTCAGCTGCTGTAGAAGAAAGCATCAAAATTTTCTAGGGAAATACTCAGATAGACAATGGATGTGGATGTCCTATTTTAAACTTCTATAGGAATATGACATAAAAATTCAAATACTGTAACAGTATCTCCCATCTCTATATAAAATAATCTGCACAAAGCAAATTATTTTATGCTCTAGAGCAAAAAATGTTTTTATTTAACTACTGCAACGTAAATCCTTTTTTTTTCCTTCCCTTTTTGCTTATTTTCTAAATAACTCCCAATACCTCTCATGAATGTATCGTGATGTTCATGCAAAAAGGGAGTTTCATGAATAGAATTTTCTAACTTTTGTAGCAGTAAATGCATTCTTTTTGCAAGGCCCATGGCCTGCACAAATATTTGAAAGCATGTCCTGTAGCTATTGTATTACTTTAATTTTTGGATACACTCATGGCACATTTAAATAAAAGAGAACATGTAATTATCATGAAAAATGCTGAAGCAGCACGATCAGATCTTCAGATGTTTCTGTGCTGTCTTTGCTACCTATTACACCTAATTTCCTGTGGTCACCATGCTACAGTGATGAATATTAGTAAGATGAGGACCCTGGAGCAAACCGTTCATTTTTAGTAATATGTTTCTTTACAAACAGGGAGCCTTGCTCCTTTCCAGAATAAAACCTGGTTGCCAACTACAATGAATACAGTGCAGTGAGTTTGTGGACTAGTGCTCAAAAATGAAACACAGAATGAACCTATTTAACAGTACAAAGGCACCCTAAACTGAGTAAGTATGTATCTCCTCTGATCACTAATCAGACATACTGATGAGGATCTGACTACATGATCTTCCAAGATGCATAAAATACTTTTAATAATAAAGTAATATTCTATTGCTTCAACAAACTTAACTTATGATTATTCTAAATTTGACCTAACCATGCGTAAGATCCAATGACAATATATACAAAAAGTAACATTCCTACATGCTAAAACCTTACAAGTGTTTAATCAAAAAAAAAAAAATCTTCATGCAGACAATTCTGATATTAAAGCAGTTACCTGTACTTTAGAGATCCAAACAGCTAACAGAAGTTTAGATATCCACTGAACCAAAGTAGTACAATAACTTTAGATATGAATCTGATACTACTATAAGTGAAACAAAAACAATTTACTTCTAGTACTAAGAATAGATGTTTCTAATAACAGGAAAGTAAGAGTCACTAGGGATAAAAAAAAAAAATCGGTTATGCTACAACAAGTAGTGCATATCATCTTCATTTGAAAGGAAGCACAAAAGCGTATGTAGTCCTTTCAAAACCAGAACTGCACAGCAACATTTTTTATACGATATTGGGCCAAATTTCCTTCCTGATGTTGAGGGTATTTGGAGAGTAATGTGATATACATTTTCACTTGTGTAAGTAGAATAAGGTATAACGGATTAAATTTTGAATTTCCTTATGGAAAATTTACCTTTCTAATTAGGTGATTTTCTGTATCAGCTACATAAATAACATTATTTTTTATAGCAATTCCTTGTGGTGAGTTGAAAGCTGCCTCTGAAAATCTTCCATCTCTCCTTCCACTGTTTGGACCTAAAAATGAAACAAAGCAAACTCAGGAGTAATTTTATAAAAAAAAAAAAAAAAAACACTTCAAAATAAAGTGCATACATTTAAACCTGTAAGAGAATTACATATTCTAAAGAGATGCTTTTCTGGTAAATGTAAACCCTGTACAGTTTACATTATTAATATTTTGTGCAGTCTCATTTTAGTCACTGTGTTATATAATTCCCATAGCCTGGTGCTATTAAGTTTTGAACTCATCCTCCACAGGTTCTCTGCTTCTTTAAGCTCATCTTCCAAAGAGAAGACTTAATAGGGGTTTAAATTGTTCCTGTTCCTTTGCACTAAAGGACAACAGCAACAACAGAAGACAGAAATAAAAAAAAAATATCTTTTTTTATTCCTGACTACACCAAAGCAAGCCAGTAGGAAAAACTTTAATTCCCAAAACACAAATTAATTTCAGTGGTTTAGATTTTGGTGTAACCACAAATGAAACTAATATTTCATTAGCAGCATTTTCTCATTAATAATCATTAGGAAAAAGATGGCATGGAACTAGCTACACAGAACAGTGAGAATGATGGAATGACAGTCTTTTACACAGAACAATCAAGAAATAGAAAGGAACATGACCTGAATATAACAGCATGAAGGTAAGGATTGAATTTCAGAGGCAGTAACATTTAAAGTGCATTAGCAGTATGTGTCAGCAGAAGACATTTAGATATGAGTTATGTGTGCATCATCATTTATGATGCAAATATAGTAATTTCAACTTTTGTGCATGCCCACATTTAATACTGTATTATCAACTTCATTACATTATTTGCTGCCCACTGAATCATTTAACTGAGTCACTTAAATACACAAACTTTTACAACGTACTGTCAGAAGACAATTTAGACCCTCACAGACATGGAGGACTGAGGTGCTGGTGTGTCAGATTCCAGTAGTTCCCCTTGTAAGCGTCAGGGTGCCCATCCCCAGGGCAGGCAATAGCACAGAGTGCCGCAGGAAGGACAGGTACCAGTTCAGAGGTTGGGACACTTCCCTCTGAATTGCTGTTTAATGACTATCTCAGAACACTAAAGGGTAGCTTGTCTGCAGAGACTTCATCTCACATATCAAACAGAAACCAAATACTCATAATTATGACTTTTGTCATAAGAAATACTGTTTGTACTTTCCTTAGAAGAAAGGTATTAAAATTAATGCCTTTGACAGCTTAACTTGGATAATTAAGCTGTCTATCCAACGTACTGTTACTTCAAAGAGCAAGAGATTTTCTTCCTTTCCTTAAACAAGAGTGCCACTGATATTTTTATGAGGTTTGTAGGACTAAGTATTATAGTACACATCATCATACAGGTCCTGATTTTGACACATAAATGAACCATTGTTTTAAATGATTCAGGGATTCAATCACTTCCCAAGTCTGTCTGGTATGGCTGCTCATAGATGGACTGTCCTAACAGCTATGTACTTGGTGCATGAAGATATATCTTTGACCACTGTAACGGATTAAAAAAAAAAAAAATAACAAGTCTGAATGTTTAATTTATGAAAGAGTAAAGCATAGAAAGAACATGCAAATTTTCTTGATTTGCACTGTAAAGCAGACAATAATTTTACAAAAAGTTAGAGAGATTAGCTTTTAAAGCTGAAATGTTACTAACAAACATTGTAACAAATGTAACTAAATTTAAATACTTTCACTATGTTCATAACTTGTTTATGTTACACCTCAATTTTGGTGAAAACACAGGCCTTTTCATATATACTAAGGCAAATTTATTTTCACGTGCCAATGTACTAGTGCAATGCCACTGTTCATAATAATTCTCCCCTCCTCTAGAAACCAGAAGGAGATGCCATATAGGAACGCCCTTCATTAAAAAAAAAAAAAACAAAAAAACAAACCCAAAACAAAAAACCACCAACAACAAGCAAACAAAAAACACACCCCAAAAACCTCCCCATACACGTCCACCACCATAATTCAACATTCATTTCTTCTATTGGAAAGGGAGGCATTACTGTCCGTTTTCTTTTCCCCACCTTACTGCTGGATGTGGATGTATGTCACTTAAATCTAAACCCATTTCCAAGTCTCTCAGAAGAATACAGAATGTATTTTTTATAATTCATATTGGACATCACATGTAAATACAAACTTCAGTCAATGGAACAAAGAAAAAAAAAATTAGACATCTCAACCAACTGCATTAACAGAATCTTCCACTGACAGTACTGTAGTATATCCCCTGATATCCAGTAAAAGTGATTTTAGTAGAAAAATAAATTCTGGCAATGCTTATAAACTGCTAGGTCCTCAAAGAAAAGAATCAGCCTAGTACGCCCAGTGAACATACTCTACTCATAAAACAAAATTACTATAATAAACTTATATACCCTTACCTCCAATAGTGTGTAGAATTTGTCCATTTTTTCGAGTAACCAAAATCCTATGATGTCCAGTGTCTGCTATTACCAGCCTTTCTCCTGAATTATCTACGGTGACTTTACCAGGAAACAGCAGGGGAGAAGGTGGGAGGGAATCTCTGTATAGCTTTATTCCAATGTTGTTATCTTTGATTTGTCCTCTCTCCTTGTAGAATTTCAGTGTTATAGAAGTAAATAAAAATAACTTCTCTCTGTGTCCCTCTCCAACAAGTGAAAACAACATATTTCTACGAGGCCCGAGAATGACCAGAGTTGGCCAACAGGACACTTCTAGTTCATGCCACAGGGTTGCATCTGCATCATTTACTACAGGGTGGACAATATTATACCTTAGAACAGCACTTTTAATGTTATCCAGGACTTTTTCATTTGGGAATTTCGCTGAATGGACACCAACAATAATAAGACCATCTGAAAGGAAAAATAAAATTGTGCATTGAAGCATATTTTGCATTTGAATTTTAAAAAAGTACTTCTTGAAGGTTCTTAAATCAGACTACTTTGTGCTCATACAAATACTCACTGCAATTGAAAATGTTGTATTGTGCTACTATAGACAAAACAGGTTTGGTTGAACAGCTATTAGATTTATATAAATATGATACAATTTAGTTATAAAGGCAGATGTGCAATGCGCATCTCTAAGTAAACAAGCTCTATTATTTGGTGTTTACTCTAATATTCTTATGCTTTATCCTAAACAAAAACCAGTGGAAATAGCCCTCGTGAAAGGACACTCATCTGGAAAAGAAAACTTTTTCAATAAATGTTTTCTCAGCAAATTATGACCTCAGAGTATGAACTGTTTCATTTACTTGTAGTAGCACATACTTAATCTTTAGAAGGCATTTTTTTTCTCATTCAAATATAACCATTTGTTACAACAGGAAAAGACTTCATCAGTTTATCACAAAACTAATCAGAACATAACCTAAGTATTTTCAATCACCTTGCTAACAAATTCACTTATCTTCTAGGTTCTCATAGTTGTTAGAATAAATATCCCTCCTTCCCTGTTTTTTTCTCTTCACTCTTTCAGTTGCAATTGCAATTATCAAAATCCAGAATTAGCTCTCTGAGAAGGAAAGCCGCATACAATATAACTTTTCGCAGTTCGCATAATGCACCTTTCTCCTTATCAAATAATTTTATTTAGCATTCTAGTATTTTGACTTTTAATTGACAAGAAGTGTATTTTTCTGCAATAACTCACCTATCTCACACATTTTATTTCCTTTAGCATCAATTGTTATGGGTCACACAACAATTCATTCTCAACTGGAAATTCACATATCAGATCATTACTGTTATTTGGCATTTACTACCTAATCCATTAAAATGCTTCACTGTTTGTAAAACTTCAAGCAAATACACAAAAAAAAAAAAAAACAAAAATGCTTTTGTAAAACAGAGTTCCAAAAATCCTGCAGTTGCAGTCACTGGAGTTTACCATTGTAAGAACAGTTAAATGAGACCTCTGATCAGAGAGGGCCTGAACCAGGGCCCAAAAAACTAACTGGAAACAACTGCATCCAAGGACAAGGTCTGGAATGGAAGGTAGTATTTACTTTTATGCTTTTCTCCTACCTTCTGCAATCTGGCTAGCTGGATATCTTTGTTCTACCCTCACCTCTGGTTTTGTGGTAGAAAACCAGATCGGTGGTATTTCAGGTCTTAAATAGTTGTATTATTTGAGCTCAGATGAGTTTGTTTCCTTCTAAAAAAACCTAATTTAATCACAAGTTGGCTTTTTATTTGGTTACAGATAAACTGAAAACTTTTTTCACTTGTAGCCCTTTTCCTCAACCATTAAACAGGTTTAATGGAGAAGAACGTCATCTTCAATGTGACAACAGGAAATGGTAAAGTGCTGCACAATAAAAGACAGTGATTTTTTAATTCTGTACCTGTGAAATTGTTATATTCAACTATAACTGATACAGTCTTTATCAATCCTACAGGCACAGCACGTTGCATTATCAGACAGCTGAAGTTGTAGCATCATTGACTGCTGAACTCCAAACAGCAGGTCAAATATTTTAACTGCAATAGGATCAGCAGCAGTGCTTATATTTGTCCTTCAAAATGTCATTAAAGCTAGAAAGACAATTCTATACTTAACATCTGAACAGCACAAATAAGCTGTAACATCCTATGACGAAGAAAACTCTTGTGGAAACTGATGGATGCTATGCTGAGATGTAAGAATATGCACACTATTTAAAACACTTTATTTGAAGGATTATAACAGAGCACAACAGTGGCCTTATGCCAAGCTATTTCTGAATATTAAAAAAGTACTCCCTCTTATAGAAGTAATTTCTGGACTGCTGATAACATGAACTGAATATGCACTGGGGTTTAAAATAACTTTCTGAATGCCACTTGAAACACAGAAATAGCACCACTGAAGATAGCAGCAAGAACATATCAGATAAAGATGCTAGGCGACATTTAATCCTATGGAAAGCAGTCTTCATTTTGAAACAGATCTCCTGAAATTCCAGACAATAGAACTATGTGCATATGTACAATGATATTTGTAATGGTTTAGGATCACCCTAAAACTACAGCTTCTTCTGTTCAGACTTGTTACCTCTGATCATTACACTGCTGAAGTTTCAACATACTCCACATAAGAGGGCATTTGAATCACATTAAAAAAAAAAAGTAATCAGAGTATCAAAAATGTATGTATACAGTGTACAATAAAAAAAGACATTATATCAATATTGAGGTTTTTTCTTAGCTATGTAGAAAATATAGGCAATATTCCTTCAAATATTCAAATGAGATTACAGATCCAAATGCATTATGAGATAGATGCTTTGTCAGAGTAAGAGGCTTGTTTTCATTCTAATACTGTCTACTAGGTCAGCATCCTCTGTCACTTCTACAGCATGGTAAATATATACATGAAATGTGTAAATAAATGCTATGTTTACAAATCTAAAGTTTAGTAAAGGTGCTCTTTCTCTATATATTTAATCTGACTTGCTGCTGCCAAAAGAAATCATGTTGCTCATCTTTTGCACCAAATCTGGTTTTCTGCAATCACAGGTGACAGATTGCCAAACTAACCCAACCAAATGCGAAGGGACTTCCATCAACTGAAGAGCAGAGCACGTTAAAGTAGAATGAAACTCCAGAATAAGACTGACTACCAAGATACCTGCATTAATATATCTAGACATTCTTAAAGCATTTTTGACGTGTCCGACATAATTTCTGCTTTAGTTTAAATTCTTCCAACTTTTATGTTTCTCAAGTTTCTCAAGACAACAACTCTCCCCGCCTCTTTTTCCTAGTGATTAGTAAATTGTGTTTGCCTTTGGTGAAGAAGATGGTCTTATATCAATGTACATCTAATGAATTATTTTTCTATGGCTTAAAAACCCACAACCAAAACTGACTTCATATATTTATACATATTACTGTAATGCTAAAATTTACACATTTAGCACAGCAAAGAAAGATTAAGCAATCTTGAAAAGGCTGATAATCAAAACATGAAAACAGCAGCAAACAACCAAAAGGGAGATCTATAGTGAAAAAAAAACCAATGTATTTTTCTTTTTGTTTGAACCATCAAGCATCTTAATCTCTTCCTGAATCCAACTGCTATCTTCTGTTTCCTAATGGATTAAATTTAAGATTAATGTTCCACACACCTGCTCTTCTTTCCTTTTACCTCCACTTTTATCCCAAGTATCTTTTATCTCACTCCAGTCCCTGTAGGAACAGGATAGCTCAAATCCAAAAAGAACTTATTAGAATAGCTCAAATGCAAAAATAATTTATCACCTATCAGCAAAGTACTTTCCTCAAGTAATAACTCCTGTGACAGGAAGTTTAATACAAATCAAACAAAAAAAACGTGTCTCCAAGTGGACCTTCAGTTCAGTTCAGAGTGCTGCAGCCTCTTCTACACCAGTATAGAGACGTTCAAATACTTTAAAGAGAAACCTTGTGGGAAGAGGTTGTTAAAATTATTATTTTGTTATCAAATTACTGAACAGCTTGGTCTTAAAAAACAGATTAAGGATATGACAGCTATATTAATACAAGAACACTATATTACAAAATGTTTATCATTGAGACATATTATTCATTATATGATCAACACAATCTTTTGAAATCTCAATTTATACCTTCCCCCCAGCATGCATGCCTGATATCCACAGCAGTCTATTTACCATTTGCTAGCCACACCTTACACTTAAAACTGCCTCCCTCCCAAAAAAAACGCCACGACAGTTTTTTTTAATTAAAGTTCCTCACATCTGAAACATTATACCAGATCTCAAATTTCTCCAAAGTAAATAGCTAAGATTTACAAGACAGAAAAATTAGTTTGAGTCTTCTGTAAAGCACTATGTAAACCTACAATATAAAAGTGAATTACTTAAAGAACGTGAAATTTCAAAGACACTGTAATTTCTTTTTCTTGTGAAAGAAGGTAACACATGAAAATAAATGCTGCCAAAATTAAAACCAGTCAGAAATGCCATTGGAGAATCAGAGACTTCAACATTATAAGATAACATTATTTACCACATATATATAATCTATTATATTTAAAGGGCTGAAAGTAACACTGTTTTTCATCTCACTGTTCAGTCTATTAAAATATCTAAGATAAGTGAGTAGCTGATACATTCTGTGTAAGACCACAGCTTATCTCTGACAAGTCATCATGATGACAAGAGACTGCATTCTAAATAGCAATTACCCTGCATTTTTATTCACTCAGAGAGAGAGAGAGATTTCCTCTCAGATGTGTCTTTAAAGACCTTAATTCTCTCTCCAGAATACAGGACTACTAATGGTATATAACATGCTGCCAATACCACAAAAATTCTAAACAAAGCTTACATATTTTGTTATTTCAGTTAGAATGGAAAAAAACAAGTAATCTTAAGTATACCCATTCTACCACCTTTACTATACTCTTCTCATAGTTGGTTCCTAAGTCAAGTGTAGAGGATGACATACTTGTATCAACTTTGAGCCAGTATGTTACATCCTTGTGTAGCTTTTTGCAAATAGCCTTATTTATGAGGATATCAGATTTGGGCTTTAAGTACATATCCTGTTTCTTTAATTATACAGACACAACAGATACCTTACTTAACCCCATTTAAAAATGTGATGGGACCATACACAGTCACCTTTTTTAGGCTACTTAAAAGATTAGAAGACATTTTTAGGCACCCCTGAAATTTTGCCAGCTGTTTAGTAACCAGCAACAAAGTGACTCAGCTACTCCATCTGCAACACTGCCAGGAAATTCTATTCCAAGCAAGCCAAAGCACTTTTACCTTTATCAGAGTACTGGTGCTCTAATGCGTGGAGATCAGGCAGCAGGTGCAAGCAATTGATGCAGCAGTAAGTAAAGAAATCCAACACCACAACTTTTCCACAAAGGTCTTTGTGAAGAGAAATAGGACCTTCAGTGTTTAACCATTGTAGATCTGGAATTCAGAGACTGGTTAGAGGAAGGGTAGGGAAAGGAGACAATTACACCTAATTTGCACACTACCTCACAATGTTCCTGGTACATTTAACTGAAAAAAAAGTTCAACATCCCTTTCTACACAGGTAGAAAAGCAAACCAGAAGTCTTGTATTTATCCAACTCATCCTTATGTTCCATAATTCTTCATAATTAGTAAATGAAAATAAATATTAACAAGATTTACTGTAAAATTGAAAGTGCCGTTTATATATATAAATAGGCACCTTTTAACTGAAAGAACCTGTAAGCTTCAGAACAATTTTCATACATTTTAAAACATGATCTACATTATTCAACTCCTAACAATGTCATACGGGTAACAATTAATTATTTAAAACTCACTTAAATGCTAGTAAACTAAAAAACTGCTAAACTCTTAATGATTTTTCAAACAGTCTTGTAAAGAACTAATTTCTGAGATTAATTAAATATTTTGTGTTTATCATTTTGATCTTGACTTTCAGCTTTGTAATGACAGGTATAAATTAATCCTGTTACATGGGAAGAAATACAACCTTTTCAGATATACCTGATAGTACTCCTGGTCATTTATTTTAACCACTTGATATGAGACATGAAATCATTATTTTTTCACTGGTAACAGATATTCCTCTGATCCCATTAGACACTGGTATCAAGATAAGAAATATATATCCTAGAATAGGGTCTGCCGTCACTATCACTTAACATTTCTGAAAATAATGGGTGGGAAAAGATTGATGTGATACAATGCAAAGCTGAACTAAATTTTTGGAGGCCTATTTTTAAAAAACGTATGCTGACTAATCTAAAAATCCTCAAAACTTCCACTCTGACAGCTTCAGCAAACTAAGTTCTTACTGTCTCAGAAGTTATTGCTGCTGAAGTCAGCAAGGTGCTTGTTTTCTGTTGCACTAAGAGGACGATTGACCTCTAACTATATTAATAAACATAAATGGATGCATACACATTTAGATTTGGTGAGAATAATTTATTAAGTATACACATTGTTCCCACAGTATGAGAGCTATACTGTTTACTTTTTAATATAAAAGAGTAGGTTATTTATTTTGCAGCATTGCTCCCCTTTCCACTATAATTAAAATACCTTTCATTAAAAAAATACTGGAAATTAAAAATGTTGGTTACCTATTTGAGCTCTTTTTAGAAAAGAAAATAAGCTTTAACAGAACACAGAAAGTGAAACAATACTGATGACAAAAGTGAAAATTCAGGGCCTCAAATCTAGACAGAAAGAGCATTCACTTTGCTTCATTGGTTCAAAGCCAGAATTCATTCCCATGATACACATGTGATTTTAACCCTGAAGTTCACCTCCTGAGGTCTCTGACACGCAGTCAGATGTGAGCTCTCTCAGTTGCTGAGAGCCTCACTAAGGTTAAGAGGACCCTGAGCAGGACTTACAAGATCTCGCAAGACATAACCTTTGATTTCACACTTAGCACAGGAAGAGATAGAGAAATGTGTGATATGCGTGAAAGGGAAATGGGCACAGCAGTGAAGGAGGATGACATCTCCAGCACAGTCTGTATTATTAGGGACACAAAATTATCCCCGTATTATCGGGGCAAGCCCAGGTAAACTATGGGAGAACAAGCTGGGAAACATCCGAAGCAACTGCAATGAGACCAAGGGACCTCAGGAGAAAGCTGTGTGAGTTGGTAAGGTCCTCACTATGACCAGAGGAGAGAGATTATCAATATACTGTATAGAAGGAAAAGGCTTTATTTAAGAAAACAAACCAAACCAAACCAAAACTGAATTAAGCTAGTAGAGCTATAGAAGAAAGGCGTTAAAGAACAGGGTTTTGCAACCAGGCGCAGGGGGAAGTATTTGTAAAGGGGCTCTTTTTTCTTTTTTTTTTTCAGGAGTGACACCTCCTGTAACTAAAAGAGCCTTTTAAAAAGGAGGCTAACGGGCCCGCAATCACACGGCCCTCACAGGCAGCGGGACTTGAAGGAAAACGCCACAGGCCGCGCCTCGGGGCTCAGCCCCCTCCCCGGGGCAGCCGCGCTCCGCCGCGGGGCCGGGCCCGCCCGGGCCCCGCCACCCACCTGCGCCGAGCTCGGGCACCGTCAGGTCCCGCTCTCGGCCGTCCATCTTCTTCAGGTACTGGTAGACCAAGTTCTCCTTCTCCTGGGGAGTATCGGCGTCGAGCAGGGCGTACTCCAGCTGGGTCTGGGCGGGCAGCAGCCCCGCCAGCCCCCCCGCCGCCATAACGCCTCCAGGACGGGCCGCTGTTTACCTGCCGGCCGCTTCCGTGCCGCACATTCAGCACCTCCCGCGGGAGCGGAAAGCTATAATTAAAATAATAAAACAAAACAAAACAAAACAAAACAACAAAAAAAAAAGAAGAAAAAAACCCCACCCACAAACAAACACACCCACACAAAACAAAACCAAGCAATAACGCTTCTGTCTTAAAGGGGGAACTTCTCATTCATTCCGTGTTTTTACATAGCTCTGATATTCACAGAAGCATATTCGTGAAGAGAATCCCTAGCGGTGATTCCAGCTCAGCAGATTCAACACAGCCTGCTTTTTCCCGCCCAGTTCCTTTTTTATTTTTAAGTGGAGTAGAGGTGAAAAATAAAGCAATACCGGGACAAAGTCCAAACAAGGTGCCAATAACTTAAGTGTGGGATTTTTTTTTTTTGGCGGGCGGGGGGGTGCGCGTTGTGAAAGAAGCGGAAAGCTGGGCGATAGCCGCGGTGACGAAGCTGCGGAAGCGAATGCGTTGCTGCGGCGGCGGGCGGCTGAGAGGCGCCCGCCCGGGGAGCAGCCCGCGACCCCCGGTGCCCGGGGAAGGAGGCCGTGGGGAAGGAGGCCGTGGGGAAGGAGGCCGTGGGGAGGAAGGCCGTGGGGAAGGAGGCCGTGGGGAGGAAGGCCGTGGGGAGGAAGGCCGTGGGGAGGCAGCCGGCCTCGGTTCCCGCGGCAGGAGCCGAGCAGGGGGCCGCTGGTGGCGGGAAGCGCGGTCCCTCCCCGGTGCCGGCGATCGGCCTTCGCCGTCTGGTGCTTCCCGGCAGCGACCCCGTAGCTGAACTCTTCGCCGTTTTTTTTTTTTCAAATCTTTCTGTTTCGGGGCAGCGAGGTGGCAGGCAGGGAAGCGGGGCCAGCTGGGCTTCACCTTCCGAGGCCGGCTCGGGTGCTTACGGGGAGGGGGCGGAGGGGGGTAGCTGAAGGAAATGGCTCGCTCTGCATCCTACAGACTCAGGTTTTATTTAGCAAAGGTAATTACAAGTACCCAAAGAGGCGCTCATTAAATTATTTTTTAGGATTGGATCCACCATGCTTCTGTCCCATCACGGACTGCTGTTTGGTGTGTGGCCCAGTGTTGCTTTTTTAAAATGGAGTTCAAGTGCTTTTCTTCACATAGTGAAGGGGGGAGGGAAGAGAAGACACACTAGTGTAAGGAAAGATAGATTTGTGAACTGTTGCTTGAAAGAAAGGAGAATATTTCATGTGTTGCCATGTCTGAAGATGCTTTATTGGAAGAGGACATTTGGGAGTATAAATCCATTAGGAAGCAAAAGCATCAGAGTAAATCAGAGAGCATCTCTACACCTGTGGAGAAAGTAAGTGATGGCAAGTGCAAGCCAAAAAAAAAGAGAAACAGAAGGAAAAAAATATCCGTAGAAAAAACTGATACACTTCAGAAAACCGAGCAGAGATCAAGGCTAAATCAGGATGTAGATCAATGTACAGATGACAGTATTGTGCACTCCCAGGAAAGTGTGAGTAGCCTGACGGAACAGAGCTCACGGAATGCAAAGCCTGTTCACGATGGATACTGCCCCAGCTGCCAGATGCCTTTCTCTTTGCTATTGGTCCAGACGCCTCGGTGGCATGTTGCTGAATGTTTGGATACTCCAGGATGCGTTGAAAAAGGTATGAACAGGGTAAGAAAAAAAACCTTCAGAGAAAAGTTAAAAACTCCTCACACAATGTTGCTGTAACCTTGGTTTTCATATTTAGTTCAAAATCAGATGGTAGTTGATATGATTTTTAGAATGTTATTTCTGATAATTTATCAGTATTTTCATATGAGATTTTTGGTTCTTTGTGAAGAACATGGAAATCTCATATCAGAATCTAATCTCAAAGCAGTGATAAACATTTGTGGTTGTTTATCAAGCTCCAGTTTCAGTAATTTCTTGAACAAATTGAAGGTGTATATTTGCCATTTTAAAATAATGGAACCTGTTTCAATTACTAAATCAGTGTCAGGGAAAAAACCTCCTTCAATTAGGAGGCTGCTACTTTTGACACCAAATTTATTTCTCCTTGAGTATAAATTTTGTTATCCTGTATCCACGGTGCTGTGTGACTTGTCCAGTTGTCCATGGACAGTTGGAAGCTGAAATCAGTCTGTTAGGCCAACTTAATTGAAATGTTGGTCCCAGATCCAGGAAGCTTTAAAGGTTTTATACAGAATTCTGTATGAACGTTCCTGTATCATAGGGCAATGCAGTTTTATTTTGAGCTGTGTATGAGAGGGATAAAATTGACTCATTCCAATTGCTAGTTTCATGTGGGGGAATACTAGTGTTTGAACAGGTCCAGGTATCCAACTTATGTTCTTAATACACCTCATAACTTTTGAAAAACAGAAAACATACAGTCGGGAAACTTGATTAAAGGCTGTTTAGGTTACACAGTCACTTTTCTTTTTATATCTTTGTAACTTTCCTTGAAGTTTCTTCTTCAGAACAATGAAATGTGAGCCCTTTAATCTCAGTTTTGGCAGTGGTTTTAATTGAAGGCAGGTGTGTTAACAGCTTGTTTCCATCTCTTACTCCCGTAATTTCTTACTCCCATAATTAACAAATGAAAAATCTTTCTGATTGATTTATGCATTCACCTTAAAATCCTCAGAAGTGAGGCTAGCAAACGCTCAACAAAAAAGGCTTAGGGAACAGCCATAGTTTTTTTTTGCTGGCATCTCAATCCTTAATACTTTCATCACCTACGTAAATACTTTTTTTTTTTTTTTAATTGAATGTGTAACCCAGTAGACAACTTGAAATGCAATTTCAGGTTGATTCAGAACTTACATTTGGTTTGTTTTGAAACATATCTGCTGGCCTTTTCTGGTGCTACTGCTCTGAGCTCATTGCTTGCACATGAGACAATTCTGAGCTAGAAGCCATATGCTTACATTAGCACAGCGCTGAAACAGGGTTTAGTACCCTTGTTTTTAGGGGGCTGTATTAATTCAGGAATAGTGCTGTATTAGCAGGAACAGTTTGATTTTAGGCTGGATTCTCATTTCTAGCCAACTCAGGGCAGTAGGCCTCGGCAGCTTGAAAATTACTTTTTACTTGTGCCTTCTATCCTCCAACAGCTGCATTTATAAGAAAAGACTTTTAAATTATGTGTATTGTGTGATTTTTATTTTAATAATTATGCCAACCATATTTGCAAAGATATTAATGTTACTTCTCTGTTTATTTTTCATAGAGTGTCCTGATGGTTTACTGTGCACGTCCACCATTCCGTCTCACTACAAGCGTTATAGCCATTTTCTACTTGCAGCAAGCAGGGCAGGAGATTATCTTGAAAATTCTTCAGCAAACACTTTGGAGAGGAAGATGACATGTTCTACTGATGCAAAGCCCAGCTGTTCCCCAAGTCATGTAGAGGAAATTTCACAGAATGAGAAACCATCTAATAATGTAAAAAATGTCCTGAATGACTGTACATTGATGGTACAGAGTTCACCGCAAATTAAGTCTCTAAATGTAATCGGTGAAAGTACTTCCTCTTTTGCAGATGTTGAAAAGCCTCAACAGACATTTCATCTTACACAGACCACTGATAATAGTTGTAAATTTGAGTTTTATGACTTTGCATCCTCTCAAGAAAGTGGAACAGGAGAAGATCTGTGTAGTCGGAAAGATACAGATCAGCCAAGTCTACTACAATCAAAAGCAGACTTCAGTGACTGTGAAATTTCTTATTCTCCACTGAGCACTTTTGAGGAAAGTGAAGAGGAAACTGAGGAAGAGGAGAAGAAAGTAAAACTATCACAAAATAATTCTGTGGTGTTTAAAACATTTGATGGACTTCTCTTACAGCAGAAGCCTCAGTATGAGGATACCAAAATGGGAAATTTCATAATTAAAAAAAAACACTGTGAGAAAGTAAATACATTGAACCTTCTAGATCATAGCATAAAAACTGTTTCTGAGAGTCACATGAACAGCAAGCTCTGTAATTCAACATGTGTAGATAATCAGCATCATCAAGAGGTGCTAGCCAGTGTGTCTTCTTGTCCTTTTAATTCTGAGGAGGTTGAACAGCCAAAATTTATTTCCTCTGCTGCTAGAGCAGGTAACACAGAATCAGAAGATACTGGTGCTTGTGCTTTGGATTCTGCATACATGAATTTTACTGAGGCATCACCACTGCTAGTCAGAGAAGATGCTGGGTCTCTTCTGGCACAGAAAAATAATGTTTTGAGGGATCCAAGTAACATTTTAACTAATGCAGGTAAAATGACTGCCAACGCAGAAAAAACAGCTTGTCAGGAGAGTCTGCGGTCAGTAGTGAAGAAAGAAGAAAACCTTGATACAGCTGCTGTGTGCTTTCCCAGCACTGTTTCTGAAACAGTAACATCTCTTTCTTTAGCAAACACAAATGCCAAATCCAGTTCTGCCAAAGAACTCAAACAAATGGACATTGGTGTTTTCTTTGGGTTAAAACCCAAAGTAAAAGAGGAAAGCAAAGGAGAGACGTGTTTGAGTGAGGGAAAGCAGATATCAAGCTCAGAATCTCCCAATGGAAGGAGGCCCAGACAGCAGAAAAGGAAAGCTGAAGGGTCTGTGGAAGATGTAGAACTGGTTACAGAAAGTTCAAATAAAAATGGAGCCTTTTCAGGTGTAAGTTTTGGTGGCCAGCAAAGGTGGAGAAAAAAATTTAAAGAATTATCTACTACAGGTGAAGGAACAAGAAAAAAACACTGCCCTTTCTACAAGAAAATACCAGGTGAGGGGCAACTTGCTTTTTGTAGATGTTAACTAATTTTGGCTTGAGTTTTGTATTTTTTTTTTTTCTAATTTTAGACTTCAATATTCTTCACTCTTCATAACCATTCACACTGCAGCTCATAATGAATTTTCTTTCCTCCATCTAAGTTGATGAAATCTTGTGTAGGTGCAGATCTTGAAAAGAAGGTGATTGCAGAACCAGTCAGCAACGGCTGAAAATAGTGAAATACTTATCTCAGGAAAATTATTTCAAGGATTGACTTCTGAATGTTTTTGACAGAATGAAAAACA